CCCGATCATCGAAGGGCGCGATGGCATCATCCACGGGAGGAGGGCGGGAACGCCACGTTGCGCCTCGCGCCGCAGGCGCGGGCGCAGAGCGCAGCGGGCCCTCAACCGTCAAGTCGCATGCAGATTTGGCCGCGCCCCCCCGCGCGCATTTCCACGACCGGCGGCGGGCGGCGCCCGCCCCCCCGCGGCTGGGGCAAATGGGCCCCACCTTGCGTCTCCATGAGCGTAGCTTAACCCCCGCGACGCACCGGCGGCGCGAATGGTGATCTTGCCTTCTTGATAGATTTCCGGATAGCTCTCTGAGAGCTAAGCGGGCTTTCATGCCAGAAGCCTGCAGCACTACGCTGCGCGCGCCTCGCTCAAAGGCCCCGGGCAGGCACCCCCGCGGCGACGTGCTTGAACTTGCAGCGTGCCCCGAGAGGCGATGCCCCACTCGTTCCCAACGCGCACGCCTGCAGCATTGCCGCGGGCGTCTCGCAGCCCCCTCGAAGCCCCCATCGAAGCTTGTTATTTGAAGATTGTAAGTTCCCCAGGCATGCTTTCCAGCCCCCTGGCAAGCGTCTCCGAGAAGCACTCCCGAAGCTTACAGGCTCGCCAGACATGCTTTTGAGCGTCATTGCAAGCGTCTCCCGCAGGCGCCTCCAGCGCGCGACTCGCGGGCCCCCCACATAGCGAAGCAGCCGAAGCTAGGGGCAATTCCCGGATAGCTCCTTGGAGAGCGGGGGGGGGTCAGATCAAAAGCCGGCAGGCAGGGCCGCGCCAGCTTATCTGCAAGGCCCCCAGACAATCACCCTCGCAGCGAGCTGCTCGAGCTGGCAGCGCGTTCCTGCAAGCGTTTCCCCACTCGCCCCCGCTGCGCACGCCCGAAGCCTTGCCGCAGATCCGGCGCAGTACCCTCGAAGGCCCCTTCGAAGCTCGCTCGTGGAAGTTTGCGAGCTCCCCAGGCATGTATTCCAGCGTCGCGACACGCATCCCTGAAAAGCTTGCCGGCACCCCAGGCGCGCTTCCGAGATAGCCGGCGGTGGGGCAAGAGGGTCCCAGGTTAGGAAGCCGGAGCCGCATGGCGGCCCCGAAGATCGTTCTGGCCCCCATTTTCCAGCGCCGCCGCAGGTTGGTTAAGTCGCAGCGGGCCCCGAGAGGCCCTTTCTTAGCTCGTCCACATGCGCGTGCCCAGAGGCTCTCAAGAGGTCCCTCGGACGCCCTCTCCACGCAGGTCCTTCCAAACTTATTCGCCAGACCTTTCCACGGTCTTCGGGCGCCCTGCCATCCGGTTTGGGGCCCCGCAAGTTTTTGTTTGGCTGGCGAGAGCCACGGGCATTGCAGGGCGACGGCGCCCCCGGGGCCCGCCGAAGCCCGCCCCGAGAAAGCGCGCGACTGATTGCGCGAGACAGTCTCCGCTGCAATCCCCGAGGCCGCCCCGCACTCCGCGGCGGAGCGGCCGAGGGCGCGACATCTCTGCCCGCGCGGGCGCGAGGGCCGCCCCCGCAAGGCAGCCCGAGGCCGCGGCAGCGCAACTGGAACGGGATTGGCACCGCGTCGGCACCGCCCGCGCTCCGCTGCAGCAGTTGCCCACGCCTCGCAGAAACGGAGAGCGCGCCCCAGCAGTTGCACGCAGAGGTCGTCTGCTGCGCGGGCGCCCGCATCTGCGGCCGTCAGCCGATCTCGGGGGCACCTGGCAACGACGCCACCTGCGCGCGAAACGGTGCCCTTCTTTGGGTCGATACTCCAGCGCCAAATCCACGGGCGCACCTGGCGCCCAAAACTCGGAAGCTCACGCGTGCGTGACCCCGGGCGCCATGAACGCCCCTGGGATGGAAGCCGACGACGCCCCCGCCGTCGGGGTCACACGGCGCGGCTCGCGAACAAATTGCCTCCAGACTGCATGCGAGCCGACCACTAACATTCCAAATGTTCGCCGCCAACCGCAGGGCCCGCCGCCCGCCCCGCCCCCCTCCCGTCGTTGAGTCGAAGCCTTCCTCCCGCCGCCCTCCCTGATGACACTGCCCCGGGCAACTTTGGCCCCGGCGCTGGAATCCGCCCCCAAATTGACCGCGCTGTCGTTCAGAGCCCTGGCATAAGTTCCCAGGGCCCGGGGCGCAGGGCCGCGACCTCGCTGCTGTTCGACGCCAGATTCAGCTTGGGCCTCGCCAGCGGGGGGCATCGCACATGCCCGCAGGCACTAAAAGCTCTGCTGGCAGGGTGCCCCCAGCAGGAACAGGCATTGTCCGAACTCGTCTGCGCAAGCCTCGAACCCCAGATCGCTGACGCGGATGCTGGAGTCGGCTTGACCTTTGGGGATGGCTTCCACAATTGTGAGATACACGTAGCCTTCTATATCGCACGCTGCGGCGCTGGAAATAACGCCGCGGCACAAGCCTCGTCCATCATGAGCTATCCGAGGCCAGGCGCGCGAAATGTGAGAAGTACGCAACGCAACAAAAATGGGCAGCTTCACGCTGGACCTTCCAGACGAATCCGACTGCGCGAAACGCGCCCGCAACGCGCCCGAAACGCTGTCGGACGTCGGCCAGGGGGGTTGATGCCGCGTTCCCTGAACCACCCACAAGCGCACCTCCGACAGCTGGTCTCCACGACCTGTCCGCGACCGCACCTACCCCACCCCCGGCCGCGTTAAAAGCGGGGCGTTGCGCTCGCACGCCCCCCCTCGGAGCGAAATGGGGGCCAGCCCTTGTCAGTGGCGAAGACCGCACGAGTGAAAGAAGCCTGTCGGACAGTTGCCTCAGGCTTCCGACGCAGTTGTGCAAAATCACCTGTAGACCCGCGGGCGCAAAACCAACGAAACTACAAATGGCGAAAAATGGTTAGAGAAAGCAAAAACGGGGAGAAGGTGTCAACAGCAACGTTTGCCTATTAGCATCCAGCTCTGCACCGTGGAGTCGAAAAACCAAAGCATTGAACCAACCGCCGGCGTAGATTCGAGTCACGTGAGCCCGCCTGGGCCATTGCAACTGTAGGGATAGAACATGTTCTCGTCCACCCAGACGCGCCCGACGAAGACCTCGACTCTAGTTGGCCGCGCAATTCCTGCCACCATGGCGGCTCAACCGTCAAGCTGCATATCCAAGGCAACCGCATCGACATCGACCAGAGCGCCGCGAGCGAGAGCAGCCACGGTGGCGTTCGCGGCCTTTCCTAATGAACATGGCAGCGTCGCGTGCGGAGATCGAGCTGCCAATGTCATTCATCTTGGCCATGCATAGCTCGAAGCGAGAGGGGCCCATCCCACCATCTGCAAAAGACATGCCTGGTGGGCGAACCAGCGAATGAATGGGCCGCGGACGGGATGTCGCGGCGGGAGCAAAATCTACAGCTGCAGAGCAGCTCTGTAGATATTAAAGTGTGAAGAAACTCATGTGGCGCGTCCTTGGCCCCACCCCTGTGCTTGCGCCAAAACAAACAGATACGAATGATGATGGTGATGGTGACGATGACGACGGTGGCAATGATGACGATAATGACGATGGCGATGGCGATGACGCAGAGGAGGAAACGGATTATGGTGATGATGCTGATGCTGGTGCTTATGCTGTTGATGGTGCTGATGGTGATAATGATGATGATGCTGCTGATGACACTGAAGGTGATGCCGATGGTGACGATGGCGATATAGGTCGCTAATGACGTTGATGGATATGGCGATGGGTGTGCCGATGGTGGCGATGATGATGATGGGGATGCCGATGATGGTAGTTGGTTGAAGTAAATACCAACATTATATATATATATATGTTCGCATCACCATGTATGATGGTGGTTCTGATGATGCGGATGATGATGATGATGAAGATGAAGATGATGATGATGATGATGATGATGATGATGATGATGATGATGATGATTATGATGATGATGATGATGATCAGGATCGGACTCATGGTGATGACAACGACGATGCTGACGATAACGATGATGATGCTGATGATAATGATGATGGTGGTGATGATGGTGATGGTAATGATGCTGGTGGTGGCCATTTATGATAATAATCATGCTCATATTGATAATGATGATGACTAAAAGCAGCGATGGTGATGACGTTGGGAATGAGGGCGAGGATTGGGACGAGGCGAGGATGAAGCGAGGCGTGAGGATGGCGATCAGCGTGAGGGTGCGGTTGAGGATATCGGCGTCGAGCCAAGGGGGAAGTGAGAGAAGGAAGACCTTCTGAGGCGGCGGCGGGGCTACTCAGAAGTCCTCGTGCCTTCTGAGAAGCGTTGCAAGCCTTCTCCGAAGCCGTCCGCTGCGTAGAGGCGGGGTGGGTGCGGCTGGGTGGGGGAGGGGGGGGCAATCCCTGGAAGCGGCCCCTCCAGGCGCCGTGTGGAGCGGTGAAGTGGGGCATCCTGGCGCCCCATTTTGAAACATCCGATGTCTTGTTTTTGTTCCCACGTGGTCTCCCCAGGGCTGGCTTCTCATCCCCACCGAGTCCGAAGTCCCGACCCCTTCATCAGCCCGAAGTCCGAAGCCCCAAAGTCCTAATACTGCTTTCGCTCAAAGCCCAGATCCGTTTTCCTAGGCTGGCTTCGCACCCCGGATCCATATTTCACGGCCCCAGGACACGGCGAGGCTCCCTCGGAGGCCGAGAGAGCTGCTGAAAGGACCTCCGCACAGACTTCTGTCGGGGCGAAGGATGTATACAGTCTGGCTCGGCACCAGGAGTGACACTGGCGAGAGGGCGCTCTTTCGCATCTGGAGACACGATTTTACGTTGTCACTGTTTGTGTTATGTGTGGGGGTGGTGGGCTTTCCCTCCTCCTTGGCCTTCTGAAGCTCTCGATGAAGAAACACTGCATAAACACAAACTTTCGGAGCTAGAAGGAATTTCTTGGATCGGAACTGGCCCTCCCTCCCACGCGCAGAGCGCCAGGGGCGACGCCGGAGGCGCCACCAGGGCGGCCCAGCGACGATCCAAGAGATCAGCGCGAAGCCCCAAAAAATCATGTGAATGCAATCGGTTCTTCTTCGAGGCTCCCGGTCCCCGCCTCGGGCATGGGCATGGCCGGGCTGCACGGCGCGCTGTGGCCCGCGCTGGGGCTGTGCAGCCTGCTCAGCTCCCGCGGGCGGGCGGGCTCGCTGGCATGGAAGAGGCGGGCACCGTCGAACATGCTCTCCTGGTGGGGCCGAGAAGAAGCCGTCCCGAAGAGTCAGCCTCGAAAGTCCCTCCTCTTGCCGTGCTTGGCACGTTCGAAACTATGACGGACCCTTCATCCCGAAAAATAAATCCAGACCTCCCTCCGAAACGCAAGGGGGGAACGCCATTCCCGACGCATTTAGTACTCGGTGGCGGGGGGGCCCAGAGGCCCTCAAGAAGCCCCCAGGAGGCCCCAGAAGGCCCCCAAGAGGCCCGAAAGACGCCCCAAGAGGCTCCAAAACGACCCCCAAGAGGGCTTCCCCGGGTCCCTTGCTCAATCCCCTGAGCCTCAGTCCTCAAGCGGAGGATTCTTTTGGTCCCCGACCCCAAGCTCACAAATCTCTTGAGGCTCCCCGCGCGCCCTCTGGGGCCCCCAAAGTGTTCCCGCATGACTTTTTCGAGCCCAAGAGAGGCCCCAAACGGGCCAACAGGGCCCCAAGAGGCCTTCAAGACGGCCCAAGAAAGCCCCAAATCACCGAACGATCGGTCCAAGGCGCCCAAGATGGCCCCATGGCTATTACCATGATAAACAACAGCAGCAGCATCATCATCATCATCATCATCATGATCATGATCATGATCATCATCATCATCATCATCATCATCATCATCATCATCATCATCATCATCATCATCATCATCATCATCATCATCATCATCATCATCATCATCATCATCATCATCATCATCATCATCATCATCATCAATCAGTCATCATCATCATCATCATCATCATCATCATCATCATCATGATCATGAACATCATCATCATCATCATCATCAATCGTCATCATCATAATCATCATCATCAGCTGCAGCAGCATCATCATCATCATGATCATCATCATCATCATCATCACCACCACCACCACCATCATCATCATCATCATCATCATTATCGTCATCGTCTTCGTCATCGTCATCATCATCTTCAGCATCATCAGCATCAGCATCACAAACAACAGCATCATCAGCATCAGCATCAGCATCATCCTCATCATCATCATCATCATCATCATCATCAGCATCATCAGCATCAGCATCAGCATCAGCATCATCATCATCATCATCAGCATCAGCATCATCATCATCATCATCACATCACCATCATCATCATCAACATCAACATCATCATCATCATCACCATCATCATCATCATCATCATCATCATCATCATCATCATCATCATCATCATCATCATCATCATCATCATCCGGAGCGCCCCGGATCGGCGGCACTGGCCGGAGGCCAGCACAAGAAATCCAGAGCTCCCTCCGAAACTAGCGGACACACCTCACCCCCAAACATCCCCCACCCACCACCAGCGCTAGGAGGGGAGATGAGGTTCCAGAACCCACCTCCCTGGCGAAAGGGGGGAGGGCCTGAACCCCCCACCCACTCCTCCTCGTTGTCTTTTGCCGGAGACGAGTGAGGGGGGGGCGTCCAGAACCCCTCCTACCCCTTGCGCTTGAGAGGGGTGGTTCTGGACCCCCCTAGGAAGGGCGCTCCCACCCTTGCGCGGGGAGGGGTAAGGGGTACCAAAACTCCCCCTGCTAAGCGAACGTGAAAAGCGCGCTCTTTCGCACGGTCGCTGTCTCACGCAGTAATCTCCGTTTCATCCTTCTGCGAACGTCTGTCTATCAATATGAAACAAGCGGCTGATTCCCGGCAGATGGGAACGCGCCTGCACGAAGTCATAGCTGACGAAGGGGGAAAGAGGAGGAGTAGGGGAAGGAAGCGACGACGACGATTGAGATGCGTTCCTCGAGCCAGTCGTCTTTCCTCCTTGGGGGGGCTCGGGGTTGCGCACAGACCGCCTCCGGACTTCCCTCCCCTCGACGTCGCCAATGCTGTTCGCGACGTCCGGCCTCGGTGATCTCCCGACCCTCTCCACGGGGCAGGCTCCTCGTCCCGAGTCGCGCTCCAGTCCCAGGACCCACAATGAGAACAATCACCATGCTTGGAGGCCTTGAAATGGGCACCATCACCAATACATGGGGTCACTTCCACTGGGGGAAGATGATCCTAGATTTCGATGCTGGTGGTAATAGCTCGAGCACCTTGGAAGCCAGAATAATACCACCATCACCGAGATCGGGATCCTCTTCCCTCGGTGGAGCCACACCGCCGATACTGGTGTTGCAACTTCTAAGCCTGCGACATGATGAGCATAACCTGTCTGAGACTCGCGCGGGTTTCGATGGTGATTCTGCTGCTGCGGCTGCTGATGATGATGATGATGCTGATGATGGTGGTGATAGTGATGGTGATGGTGATGGTGATGGTGATGGTGATGGTGATGGTGATGGTGATGGTGATGGTGATGGTGATGCTGCTGCTGCTGATGATGGTGATGATGAATCAGCATGAGCAAGAGCTGTCTGAGACTCGCGCAGGTTTCTGGAGTCGGCGCTGGGCCCCCAATCCCTGGCGCTTCGCCCGCCGGGGGCGGCGCCAGCGGTGCCGCCAAAGCGGGGAAATCCGCGCGGACTTCTGGAGATGTTTGCACGCTTGTGCACAACGTCCCTTCCTCGAAGGCCGTCAGGGATCTTCTGACCCGGGTCAATCCAGACCCGGGTCAGTCGGGCCCTTGCAGGATCCTTTAGGATACTGCACCTGAACCCGGCTCAATGCGACCCTGGCCCTGCAAAATCCTGCAGGATCCTGCATGCAGGATCCTGCAGGATCCTGCGCCCAAGCCCGGGTCAATGCGCCCCCAGCCCTGCAAGATCCTGCAAGATCTGGCGCTCCGGCTGACACCCGGTTGCTTTGACCCCCGCCTCTTGAGCCCCGGGGCCGGGAAGTGGCCCTCCTTCCGTCCTTCTCCTGCCCATCGTTCCCGCCGTCGTTCCTCTTCGGGCCTGGGGCCTCACTTCTCGTCTTTCAGTGGCTGTCCTATACTGTACGAGTCGTGCAGCGCGCGCATGCCATGTGGCGCTATACTCATCCAACCTAATTTAGGCCAACTCCCATTGTCACTGAATGCAAATTGATTGGGTACCTCGCAAGGATAGTCATGCTTGTGCAAAGTTCTCCTCCTTCGAGGGCCAGGAGATGGCCCCCACTCGCGGCAAACGCAGACAAGACAGGGACTGAGGGAGGGCCGAGCCCGAGTCAGAGCCCAAGCGGGAGCCCGCGCCCGCGACCGCGCCCGCGACCGAGCCCGAGCCTGAAATTGAGCCCGAGCCATTGTGTCTTCCGCGTGGAGCCGACCAGCCGCGCGCGGCTGACCGCCACCTCTGTCGCCATCAGGCGCGCTCTCCTGACCCCTCTTTGTCCTCGTTCGCCTCTGAGGGGGGGGAGCGTTAACGGTGAACGGCTCAGGGTGGAAAACATAGGGCTGGAATCGGCGATGCATCGCCGATACATCGGCGATAGGGCCATGATAGAAACTCCGCGGGGTGCGCTATCGGACACCCGTCGGAGATGAATGGGGCACTAGGGGCCGATGCATCCCGCCGATAGGAGGCCCCATGCGAACCCTACCCCACCAACCCACGAGTTTCAAGGGGGAAGGTGGGGTTCACTTCGTTCGGGACATCCCGAGCGAAGTGAACCCCACTTCCCCCATTTTGAAATCGTGGGGTGGTGGGGTAGGGTTCGCATGCGGCGTCCCAGACGAGCGTTGCCCCTGAGGCCTTGAGCCTCTGACCTCACCCTCGCGGAGCCACCAAGAAAGCTCCCGGCCAAGCTCTCCTTGGGGAAACCGCACGGTACCGATACTGCTGCTCCCCGGAACTCTCCCGGGGTGCGTTCTGACCAGGATTTCGAGGCGAATCCAGCGGCGGCGACGAGGGTCTCCCAGGAGGCCCCAAAAAGGAGAAAACGAGGGGAGGGTGGCGGTATGGGTACCTTGTCCTCCTCTGGCTCCTGCTGCCCTGATTGCCCGCCCGCGCGCTCGCGCGCCCTACGTGCAGCTGGCTCCGTGCAGCCGCTGCCACGGCCGAGTACCCACAGGGCCCTCGGGCCCCGTGCGCCGCCAAACACCTGGCGAAGTGGGGGACGACCTCGGGTGCCACGCCGGCCCTCGGCGAGGAGAGCCCAGAATCGAATCGATGAGTCGGATCGGCGATCGAGGTGAATCAGATCGGCGGACATCGGCAGCCGAGTCGGGAAAAGTCGAATCGGCGGACACCGGCAGGCCAGTATGCCTCTAGTGAGGAATCGGAACCCAAGTCGGAATCCCAAGTCGAATCGACTCGGAATCAGAACCCCTCGAAGTCGAATCGAATCGAATCCGAGGAATCGAAACGAGCCCTGCTCGGCTGCCAAGCGCTCAGCGCCAGCGCGCTGCTACCAGACCAAGTATGCTGCTTTCTCGGGGTCCCGGCGAAATCGCTCGGATGCGACGCACGCCGCTCGAGGCGGCCCTCGGGCCCGTATGGCTACGGTTGCGGCGTACGCCCGCGCTGATGCTGCAGTCCTTGTGCTGCAAGGAACGCTGGATGAGGGGCACAGGGGGCTTCCTTGGCCACGGCAACCGTCGGCCACGACCTGACCCGGGGGATCGGCCCGACAACCAGAGACCAGCCCGAAGCCCAAGCGACATGCACTTCAGCGCCTCGACCGTACCCCTCAGCGCAGCCTCGCCACCCCATGCGCCCCCCACATGTCCCCGGAACAAGTAGGGCCCATGCGGTCCAAAACGGCCCCGCGGAGACGCCCACAACGGCCCAGTAGGCCACGAAGGCTGCCCAAGACGCCCCAAGATGGTGCCACGGTGGCTCCAGGAAGCTGCAAAGTGGCCACCTCCTGGCTTAAGACGAAGCCAGGACGTGGGCAAATCCGGGTGAGGATAAAGAAAGATCCAGCGGTTCGGAAAGATGTCTCGGACGCCGCGGCCTTCTCAGCGCGTTCCGCTCTGAGAGCGTTACGGCTTGAGCTCGTCCTGGCACAGCTCGAGATGCTGCAAGTTGGCCCCCTCCTGGCTGCCTCCAGACCGCCACGACTCTGCCTGCGACCCACGGACCTGAGAGCTGCGGGCGCTTGGGAGGCCCCCGCGTCCCGGCGGGGCCACCTGGCGTCCTGGCGGCCAGGGCCGCCCAGCAGCCTCCGGCGACGACGCCGACGACGTCGACGGCGGTTGGCGGGCGGGCGGCGTCGACGGCGGGCGGCGACGGCGGTTGGCGGGCGGGCGGCGTCGACGGCGGGCGGCGACGGCGGCGGCGCGGCGGGCTTGGTCCTTGCACGACTGCGCCGCGAGGGCGCGGGGCAGGACGCCGCCGGGCTGGCAGGAAACGTCCTGCTCGGCCCCTCCCAGAGGCCCCTCGGCCTCCAGCGGGAACCTGGAGGGGAGACGGGAAGAAGACAGGCTGGGGAGAGGGGAGGGGGAGGAGGACGGGGCGGAAAAGGAGGCGGAGGAGGAGGGGGATGGGGATGTGGAGGGAGAGGAGGAGCGGGAGGAAAGGAGGAGGGAGAAAACGACCAGGATGAGGAGGGGGAGGAGGAGGACCAGAGTAAACCCAAGATGCAGCAACGGTGCTGAAGTACACCCTCCCGAGCTAAATTTTTCCCACACGATTCCCTGCAAACCTTTCTCCTTACTACAGAGAGCGTGCGCTCTAAATACGCGCACCCCATGGAAAAAACTCCACGCAGACGAAGCAAGTGCCGTGCACGCTCCGAAACACGTATGGGATGTGTGCCAACGTGGACCCCAACCAGTCAGCTGGTGCAATGCATCTGCGCTAGTTTTGCGGCGCAACCGATGTGGTGCAAGCTATGTTGGGCAACGTACGTGGCGTACAGTATGCGGTGCAAGACATGTGGGGCAAGCTATGTGGTGCAACCTGCGCGGTGTAACCCATGTGGAGCAACCGATGCGGTGCAGTATGTGTGGTGCAACCTATGTGGTGCAAGCTGAGTGGTGCACACTACGTGGTGCAACTCGCCCTGCTGAGCTTGAAATTGTCAACTCCACTGTTCGCGCAAACATCTCCCCCATCCACCCGCAACGTGGCTTGCAGAACCCATGCGACGGTGGTTGCGATGACTACTCGGCGCTGGCTGGCGCATCGCCGCGGCCGCGCTAGCGCGCGCGCGAAGCGGCCAGCTAGTTTGGCGCGACCGACGCGGCCGCGGTGACGCTGACCGCTTGGCACTTCCCAGCGGGCACATAAGTACGAGTCGGTGAATTGGGCGGGCGCGGTACCATGGCAACTTCGACAACGGTAGACGCCGTCATGATAGTAACGATGCTGGTGGCGATGATGACAACGACGACGGCAAGGCCAGTGACGGCGCCGATGCTGATCACGCCGACGACGATGACGGCATCCTCGCGTCCGCGCCCGACGCGCGACTGTGGCCCGAATGGTGATGATTGGCACGGGCCGTGCTCCCCCAACACGCGCGCAAGGGCGTTCGAATGATTTCGAAATGCGGCGCGGGAGCGCCTGTTTAGCAGAAGTTAATGAACATGTTGAACAGTCGATGGTTGCCTAAGGAATTCGCAGGAGCGCGAACGCAAGCAATTTTGAAAAACTTGTTGCCAAACCATGTGTTGTTATGTGTTCGGGACACCCGCTTTTGAAATCCCAACGAAATCCAAGGTGTTTGAAGAATTTCCGCATGCGCGCGCGATGACGCGCGCGCGTGCGCACTTCGTCCAATGTTTTGCGAAGGATCAGTGCAACAATACGCTCACAAGGGCGTTCGAGCGATTTCGGCATGCGCGCGCGAGAGGCACGTTTGGTATCATGTGATGACCATGTGTGATGAACATGTTCAAAAACAAATAGTTGTCTTCAAATCGCAAGCGCCCGAACGCAAGCTGTGTTGAACATCATTGTTGCGAAACCGCGTGCTTTTATTATGTTCTCGGGACGCTCGATTCTGAAACCCTTACGAGGTTTGAGTTGTTGGGAGGATTCTGGCATGCGCGCGCAACGGCGCGCGCGAGTGCACTTCGTCTCGATTAATGCAAGAGCTTCTTGAAAATCATGATTTTGATAAACGAGTGTGCGCGCATAGTATGCTCTTGCAGAGGGTGGCGAAGGGGGTACTGGTTAAGCTGGGGAACTACGAATTCATACTTAAGATGGACGATGGGGCAGAATCGCATGCAGATTGCAATAAGCGAAAGGGGACCCGTCAAGTCCCGGTGGGGGGGGGAGAGGGGGGCGATCGTTGTTTCACGCTCTGAGAAAAGAGAAAATATATGTAGCACAGCGCATGTGGCGCAAACTCTGGGGTGTCACCCAGGTGGCGCAGGGCACCCGCCACCGTGCACACACGGGGCGCCAGTCGGGCACCCGCCGAGACCCGGGGGGTACTCTTCCAGCGCGGAGCGCCCACGAGGCGCACGCGACGGGGCACCAGCCTGGCACTAGCCGAGACCTCGGGGTACCCCTCCTCCTCCCCCTCCTCCTCCCCCTCCTCCTCCTCCTCCTCCTCCTCCCTCCTCCCTCCTCCTCCCTCCTCCTCCTCCTCCTCCTCCTCGGGGCGCCCACGAGGCGCTCGGGGGCGCCCACGAGGCGCTCGGGGGCGCCCACGACGTGGCACCAACCGAGCACCAGCCGAAACCTGGGGTTACCCGTGCAGTCAATCCTCTTGGCATAGCGACAAGATCACCCCTGGGCGCACGCACTATTTTTTGGGGGGGAAGGTGCGCCAATTCAGGATCATAGAATTCAGTGGGGTAACCAGCGAAAGCCCTGCTTTGAGAAGGAACCGCCCCAAGCTCGTGCAACTGCTGCACGAGCAGTTGCATGTCTGGCCCTTAAACTCGAAGGGGTCCCATGCGTGAGCCCCACTTTTGAAAAGAAACGGCCCTGCAGCAGTGCGGCTGTTACATATGCTCAAACTTCTGGCCGCTGAACAAAATGGCAATTCGCTGTTGAAAACGCACCCCCCCCCCTCACCACTACGACTGTTGAAAACTGTTGAGACGAATGTGCGTAGTACTAGGGCGGGAGCCCAATGCTGAGTAGGAGCCACTTTCCTCCCATGAAACTGCTGCAGCTGAAAGACGAATGCGCGCGACGCTGAGGCGAGAGCCCTATTTTGATAGCGCACCGCCCTCCATCCGTAAAACTGCTGCGAGCTATTAGGACGAATGTGCGCGGCATTAAGGAAGTCTCAGGCGAGAGCCTCAGTTTGAACAGTTCGAGCCTCCATCCTTGAAGCGTTGCAGACTTTCAGGACGAATGCGCGCGGCGCTAAACCGAGACCCCAATTTTGATAAGGTACCAGCCCCAACCCTACTCTTGTTGCCAAAGGATTTAACAAGACGAGTGTGTGCGGCACAGAAGAGAAAGCCACATCTAGAAAGGAACCAGCCTGTATCTGAGAATATCGTCCAACTTTTAGTGTTGAAAAAACTAGATTGCGAATAATCTCCAACGAAAACGCAAGGGCAGGCCGATAAACACGCTTGACAGTGCGACAGGGAAGAGTTACTGATAAGGGACACGAATGGGTGTGCCAGAGGAAGACCCATCGAACGACGAGCCGACGAGGCGGCACAAGAGAGCAGACGACGAAACGAGACCGAACGCGAGGAGGAGGAGTAGGAGGAGGAGGAGGAGGAGGAGGAGAAAGAGGAGGAGAAGCATGAGGGAGGGAGCAGGGAGGAAGGAGGAGGGGCGAAGGGGGGAGGGCGAAGAAGGAGGGAGTAGGAGGGAGGGAGGGGAAGGAGGGAGCAGGAAGGAGAAAGGAGGAGGGAGGGGAAGAGGGAGGAGAAGGGAGGGGAAGAGGGGGAGGGAGGAGGAGGAGGGAGTAGGAAGGAGGCGGGAGGAGGGGAAGAGGAGCAAGACGGAGGAGGAGCCCCCCCCCAGAAGAGCCAGGGCATCGAGCCGTTGAGCGGCTGCAGCCTCCGCGCCGAAGCCTGCGCGCTCGCGGACTCGGGCGGCGCAAGCCTGGGCAGAGGGCGCGTCGTCGTCGTCTCCGTCCGCCTCGCCCTCCTCCCGCCTCCTCCGCAGCCTCGCCCTCCCCTTCCTCGTCCTCCCTTGCCTTCACGTCCTTCCCCTCCCCCGCCCCGCCCCCCGCGCCCCCCCCCCGACTCCCCACTGACCTCGCCACGCGGTGTGGTCACCACACCGCTTGCGCGGAGACCAGAAGGCATCGAGACCGATACTCCCGGGACCTCTCCTGGGCCGCCTGCTGACCAGATGTTCGAGGCAAATCCAGCGGTGGCGACGAGGGCCTCCCAGGAGGCCCACAAGGGGCAGCGGTATCTTTGCCTTGTCCTCCTCCTCCTCCTCCTCCTCCTCCTCCTCCTCCTCCTCCTCCTCCTCCTCCTCCTCAGAGTATCACCATCATGACACAATGCTGAGCTGAGAAGAGAAGGGTACATGTGTGCTCTGGCATTAGCAGCCAGAGGACGGAGTCTGGTGGGGGAGGCTTCTGCAGCCCGCTGCGGGACCGCTGCCCCGCCAGCAGCACATTCCCGCCCTGCCGGCTGGCCCTCGTTCCGGACGAGCCGTTCGAGTGCTCCGTGGTCATCTCCTCGTGCTGGTCCTCCTCGCTCCGCCTCCTCCTCTCCGGGCGCGGCCAAAGAGGGCGGCGTCCAGGAGGGCAGCAAATCGGGGCCGGAGGCACGTGCGCGGCCCAGCGGGGAGGCCAAGGGACGTATTGAAATGAGGAGTGGGGACCAGTCATCAAGTCCCGGGCGATCTCATGCCGGCCCCCTCCCTACTGTGGATGCGGCAATGGATCGCCCGCCCCCCTTGGATCCGCTGGGGGGGGGGTTGGGCACGTGCTGTCGGAATGGATGGAGGGGGGTTGGAGGAAAAGAAAAAGGATGAGGAGTGGGAGGAGGATGGAGGGGGGCGGGATTGGGCAGGCTCAGTCAGAAGATGAATCCCCCACTTGCGAAATACCCCATCCAGAGTACTCCGGATTCCATAATAGAGTGTGGGGGTCCCATTTGGGGGGGATCTGATTTGAGCTGTCTTGGAGGGTTCGGGGGTCTGGGCAAAGGACCGCCCTTTCATGGATGGTCTGGGGGTTTGAAAACTTCTCGTCTGGGAGGGTTGTGACCCCCTCCCCTTTGTTACAAAATCTGGAAACGTCATCGACCCCCTCCTGGACGCCCCCGACCAAAACACAAACGAAAGCAGGATGGGGGCTCTCTGTGATCCGGCGGATCTGGAGAACGCGTCGGGCGCCGTGACCGCTCCAGGGCACTCCGCAAGGGCTGCCCCGGTCGCTGTGCGCCTCGGTGGGGCTCTACTCAGAGGCCCGTGGAGACGCAGAGCTCTGCCGATAGGCAGGCTTCGACACTGAGCCTCGTCGTCGTCGTCGTCGTCGTCGTGGTCGTCGTCGTGGTCGTCGCCGTCGCCGTCGTTGTCGTGGCGTCGTCTTCGTGGTCATCGCCGACGTCGTCGTCGTCGTCGTGGTCGCGGTCGTGGTGGTCGCCGTCGTCGTCGTCGTCGTCGTCGTCGTGGTCGTTGTCGTGGTCGTCGCCTTCGTCGCCTTCGTCGTCGTCGTCGTCGTCGTGGTCGTGGACGTCGTCGTGGTCGTGGTCGTGGTCGTGGTCGTGGTCATCGCCGTCGTCGTCGTACTAATCGTGGTCGTGGTCGTCGTGGTCGTGGTCGTGGTCGTCGTCGTCGCCGTCCTCGTCGTCGTCCCCATCGTCGTCGTCATCGTGGTCGTGGTCGTGTTCGTCGTGGTCGTGGTCATCGTCGTCACCGTCGTGGTCGTTGTCGTGATCAACGTTAGGTGGTCGTTGTCGTGGTCGTGGCCGTCGTCGTCGTCGTGGTGATCGTGGTCGTGGTGGTCGTCGTCGCCGTCGTCATCGTCGTCATGGTCGTCGTCATCGTCGTCATGGTCGTAATCGTGGTCGTGGCCATGGTCGTCGTCGTGGTCGTCGCCGTCGTCGCCGTCGTCGTCGTCATCGTCGCCGTCGCTGTCATCGACGTGGTCGTCGACGGCGTGGTCGTGGTCGTCACCGCCGTCACCGTCGTCGTCGTCGTCGCCGTCGTAATCGTCGTCGTCGTCGCGGCGTCGTGGACGTTGTCATTGTCGTGGTCGTCGTCGTTGTCGTCGAAGTCGTCGCCATCGTCGTCGTCGTGGTCGTGGTCGTGGTCGTAGTCGTAGTCGTGATCAATCGTCGTCGTCGTCGCCGTCGTCGTCGTCAGCGTCGCCATCGTCGTCGTGGTCGTGGTCGCGGTCGTGGTCGTCTCCATCGTGGTCGTCGACGTCGTCGTCGCCGTCGTCGTCGTCGTTGTCGTCGCCGACGTCATCGTCGTCGCCATCGTCGTCCTGGTCGTCGTCGTCGTCGTGGTTGTGGTCGTGGTCGTCGCCGTCGTCGTCGTCATCGTCGCCATCGTCGTCGTGGTCGTGGTCGTGGTCGTTGTCGTCGCCGTTGTCGTCGTCGTCGTGGTAGTGGCCGTCGAGGTCGTGGTCGTGGTCATGGTCGTCGTCGTCGTCGTCGCCGTCGTCGTCGTCGTCGTGGTCGTGGTCATGGTTGTTTTCGTCGTCAACGCTATTAGATAGTCGTGATCGTGGTCGTGGTCGTCGTCGTCGCCGTCGTCGTCGTCGTGGTCGTCGTGGTTGACGTCGTCGTGGTCGTGGTCATGGTCGTGGTCGTCGACGTCGCCGTCGTTGCCGTCAGCGTAGCCGTCGTGTTCGTGGTCGTGGTCGTGGTCGTCATCGTGGTCGTCGTCGTCATGGTGGTCGTGGTCGTCGCCGTCGTCGTCGTCGTCGTCGCCGCCGTCGCCGCCGTCGTCGACGTCGTCGCCGTCGTCGTCGTGGTCGTGGTCGTCGTCGTCGTCGCGGTCGTGGCCGTCATCGTCGTCGCCGTCGTCGCCGCCATCGTCGTGGTCGTGGTCGTCGCCGTCGTCGTCGTCGTCGTGGTCGTGGTCGTCGTGGTCGACGTCGTCGTCGCCGTCGTGGTCGTCCTCGTCGTCGTCGTCGTCCCCATCGTCGTCGTCGTCGTCGTGGTCGTCGTGGTGGTCGTGGTCGTTGCCTTCATCGTCGTCGTCGTCGTCCTGGTCGTCGTCGTCGTGGTCGTGGTCGAGGTCTTCGCGGTCGTCGACGTCGTCGTCGTCGTCGTCGCAGTCCTAATCGTGGTCGTCGCCGTCGTCGTCGTAATTGTGGTAGTCGCCGTCGTCTTCGTCAACCTGGTCGTGGTCGTGGTCGTCGACGTCACCATCGTCGTCGTCGTCGGCGTCGTGGTCGTGGTCGTCGTGGTCATGGTTGTCGTCCTCGTTGTCGTTAGATGGTCGTTGTCGTGGTCGTGGTCGTCGTCGTCGCCGTCGTCGTCGTGGTCGTCGTGGTCGACGTCGTCGTGGTTGTGGTCATGGTCGTGGTCGTCGACGTCGTCGACGTCGTCGCCGTCGGCGTCGCCATCGTCGTGGTCGTGGTCGTGGTCGTCGCCATCGTCGTCGTCGTCGGCGTCGTCGTGATAGTCGTCATGGTCGTGGTCGTCGCCGTCGTCGTCGTCGTCGCCGCCGTCGACGCAATCGTCGATGTCATGGTCGTGATCGTGGTCGTGGTCGTGGTCGTCGTGGTCGTGGCCGTCATCGTCGTCGCCGTCGTCGTAGCCGTTCTCGTGGTCGTGGTCGGGGTCGCCGTGGTCGTGGTCGTCGTCGTCGTCGTGGTGGTGGTCGTCGTCGCCGTCGTCGTCGCAGTCCTAATCGTGGTCGTGGTCGTGGTCGTGGTCGTGGTCGTCCTCGTCGCCGTCGTCGCCGTCGGCATCGCAATCGTCATGGTCGTGGTCGTGGTCGTCGCCGTCGTCCTCGACGTTGAAGTCGTCATCGTCGTCGTCATGGTGGTAGTGGTCGTCGACGTCGTCGAGGTCGCGTCGTCGTGGTCGTCGTCATGGTCGTGGTCGTCGTTGTCGTTGTCGTCGACGTCGCCGTCGTGGTTGTCGTCGTGGTCATGGTTGTGGTCGAAGTCGTGATCAATCGTCGTCGTCGTCGCCGTGGTCGTGGTCGTCGTCTCGTGGTCGCGGACGGTGTCGTGGTCGTGGTCGTGGTCGTCGCCGTCGTGGTCGTCGCGGTCGGCGTCATCGTCGTCACCGTCGTCGTCGTCGTCATCGTGGTCGTTGTGGTCGCCTTCGTCGTCGTCGTCGTCCTGGTCGTCGTCGTCGTCGTGGTTGTGGTCGTGGTCGTCGACGTCGTGGTCGTCGCCATCGTCGTCGTGATCGTGGTCGTGGTCGTGGTTGTCGTCATCGTCGTCGTCGTAATCGTGGTAGTGGCCGTCGTCTTCGTCGTCCTGGTCGTGGTCGTTGTCGTCGGCGTCGCCGTCGTCGTCGTCGCCGTCGTCGTCGTCGTCATGGTTGTCGGTGTCGTCGGCGTCGTTAGACTGTCTTTGTCGTTGTCGTGGCCGTCGTCGTCGCCGTCGTCGTCGTCGTCGTGGTCGTCGTGGTCGCCGTCGTCGTCGTCGTGGTCGTCGTGGTCGTGGTCGTGGTCGTCGCCATCGTCGACGTCGTCGTCGTCGGCACCGTCGTCATCGTCGTCATGGTGGTCGTGGTCGTCGCCGTCGTCGTCGTCGTCGCCGCCGTCGCCGCCGTCGTCGGCATCGTGGTCGTGTTCGTGGTCGTGGTCGTGGTCGTGGTGGTCGTCGTGTTCGTGGCCGTCATCGTCGTCACCGTCGCCGTCGCCGTCGTCGTGGTCGTGGTCGGGGCCGTCGTGGTCGTGGTCGTGGTCGTCGGCGTCATCGTCGTTGTCGTGGTCGTCGTGGTCGTCGTCGTCGTCGTGGTCGTGGTCGCCTTCGCCGTTGGCGTCGTCAGCGTCGACGTCGTCGTCGTAGTCTTCGTCGTCGTCGTCATGCTCGGGGTCGCCGCCGTCATTGTCGTCGCCGTCATCGTAGTCGTAGTCGCTGTCGTCGTCGTCGTGGTCGTCGTCGTCGTCGTGGTCGTTGTCGTCGCAGTCGTCGGCGCCGTCAACGCCGTCGTCGTCGTCGTCGTCGTCGTCGTCGTCGTGGTCGTCGCCGTCGTCATCGTCGTCCTCGTCGTCCGTTATGGTCGTTGTCGTGGTCGCCGTCGTCGTCGTCGTGGTCGTCGCCGTCGCCGTCGTCGTCGCCGTCGTCGTCGTCTCCGTCGTCCTGGTCGCGGTCGTGGTCGACGCCGTCGTTTCCGTCGTCGTCGTCACCTGCGACGTGGTCGTGGTATTCGTCGTCCTGATCGTGGTCGTGGACGTCGCCGTCACCGTCGTCGTCGACTGTCAGCATCGTCGTCGTCGTGGTCGTGTCGTCGTGGTCGTGGTCGTCGTCGTCGTCGGCATTGTCGTGGTCGTGGTCGTGGTCGTCGTCGTCGTCGTGGTCGTCGTGGTGATCGCCATCGCCGTCGTCGACGTCGTCGTCGTTGTCGTCACCATCGTCGTCGTCGTCGTCGTGGTCGTGGTCGTGGTCGTGGTCGCTACCGTCATGGTCGTGGTCGTCGTGGTCGTCACCGTCGTCGACGTCGTCGTCATCGGCGTGGTCGTGGTCGTGGTCGCCGCCGTGGTCGTCGTCCTCGTCACCGTCGCTGTCGTCGGTGTCGTGAACGTGGTCGTGTTCATCGTCGTCGTCGCCATCGTCGTCGACATCGTCGTCGGCTTTATCGTGGTCGTGGTCGTGGTCGTGGTCGTCGCCACCGTCGTCGTCGTCATGGTCGGCGTCGTCGTTGTCGTCGTGGTCGCGTGGTCGCCAATGTCGTCGTGGTCATCATGATCGTGGTCGCCGTCGCGGTCGTCGTTGTCGCCGTCGCCGTCGGCGCAGTCATCGTCGTGGTCGTGGTCGTAGTCGTGGTCATGGTCGTCGTCGTCGTCGTGGTTGTGGTCGTCGCCTTGGTCGGCGGCATCGTGGTCGTGGTCGTGGTCGTGATCGACTTGGTCGTCGTCGTCGTCGGCGATATCAGCGTGGATGTGGTCGTGGTCGTGGTCGTCGCCGTCGTCGTCGTGGTCGTCGTCCTCGTCGCCATCGTCGTCGTCGTCGTCGCCGTCGTCGTCGTCGTTGCCGTTGTCGTGGTCGTGGTCGTGGTCGTCGTCGTCGCAGTCGTCGCTGTCGTGGTCGTGGTCGTCGTCATCGTCGTCGTCGCAGTCGTCGTCGTCGTGGTCGTGGTTGTGGTCGTGGTCGAGGTCGTGGTCGTGACAATTGTCACCATCGTTGTCGTCGTCGTCGTTTACGTGCTCGTCATCGTGGAATTAACCGTTGCCTGCGTCGTTGTCGTGGTCGTGGTCGTAGTCATCGCCGTTTCCGTCGTCGCCTTCGTTGTCGTCGTGGTCGTGGTTGTGGTCGTCCACGTCGTCGCCAGCGTCGTCGTCGTCGGCGTCGTCGTCGTCATTGTGGTCGTGGCGGTCGCCGTCATCGTCGTCGTGGTCATCGTCGTCGTGGTCGTCGTGGTCGTGGTCGTGGTCGTTGTCGCAGTCGGCGTCGTGGACGCCGACGTCGTCGCCAGCGTCGTCGTCGTCGTGGCCGTGGTCGTGGTAGTCGTCGTCGCCCTCGCTGTCGCCGTCGTCGCCGTTGTCGTCGTAGTCGTCGTCGTGATCGTCGTAGGCGTGGTCATCGACGTGGTCGTCGTGGTCGTGGTCGTGATCGTGGTCGTCACCGTCGTCGACGTCGCCGCCGCGGTCGGCGGGGTCGTCGTCGCCGTGACCGTCGTCGTCGTCGCCGTCGTGGTCATCGTCGTCGTGGCGGTCGTCGTCGTCGTGATCGTCGTGATCGTCGTCGGCGTCGTCGTCGTCGTGGTCGTGGTCGTGGTCGTCGCCGCCGTCGTCGTCGTCGTTGTCGTGGTCGTGGCAGTGGTCGTCGCCGCCGTCGTCGTCGTCGTGGTCGTCGTCGTCGGGGTCGTCGTGTACGCGGTCGTGGTCTTGGTCGTCGTCGTCGTCGTGCTCGTGGTCGTGGTCGTTGCCGTCGGCGTCGCCGTCATGGTTGTCGCCGTCGTCGTCATTGTGGTCGTGGTCGTGGTCGTAAACGTCGTCGTCGTCGTGGTCGGCGCCGTCGGCGTCGGCGGCGTCGTCGTCGTCGTGCGTCGCCGTCCTTGTCGCCGTCGTAGGCATTGTCGTGGTCGTGGTCGCCGCCGACGTAGCGGTCGTCGTCGTCGTCGTCGCCGTGGGCGTCGTCGTCGAGATCGTGGTCGTCGCGGTCGTCGCCGTCGTCGTCGTCATTGTCGTGGTCGTAGTCGTGATCGAGGTCGTGGCCCTCGTCGGCATGGTCGTGGTCGTGGTCGTGGTCGTCGCTGTCGTCGTCGTCGTCGTCGTCGTGGTCGTGGCCGTGGTCGTCGTCGTCGTTGTGATCGCCGTGGTCGTGGTCGTGTTCGGCCTTTTCGCCGTCGTCGTCGTCGTTGCCGTCGTCGTCGTCGTGGTCGTGGTCGTCGTCGTGGTCCTCGTCGTCATGGGCATGGTGGTGGTCGTGGTCGTCGCCGTCGTCGTCGTCGTCGTCGCCGGGGTCGTGGCCGTGGCCGTCGTCGTCGTTGTGATCGCCGTGGTCGTGGTCGTGGTCGTGGTCGGCGTCGTCGCCGTCGTCGTCGTCGTCGCCGTCGTCGTCGTCGTGGTCGGGGTCGTCGTCGTCGCCGTCGCCGTCGCCGTCGTCGTCGTTGTCGTGGTCGTGGTCGTCGCCGTCGGCTCAGTCGCCGTCCTCGCCGTTGGCGTCCCCGTCGTCGTGGTCGTGGTCGGCATCGTCGCCGTCGTCGCATCCGTCGCCTTGTTCGTCGTCGTCGTCGCCGTCGTCGCCGTCGGCTCCTTCGTAATCGTGGTCGTGGTAGTGGTCGTCGTCGTCGTGGTCGTCGTCGTCGTCGCCGCCGTCGTCGTCGTCGTCGTCATGGCGGTGGTCGTGGTCGTGGTCGTCGCCGTCGTGGTCGTCGTCGTCGTCGCCACCGCCGTCGTCGTCGCCGTCGGCGTCGGCATCGTCGTCGTCGCCATCGTCGGCGCCGTCGTCGTCGGCGTCGTCATGGTCGTCGGCGGCGTCGTCGGCGTCGTTGTGGTCATGATCGTTACAGTGGCCTTCGTCGTTGGTCGTCGTCGTCGTGGTCGTCGCCGTCGTCGTCGCCGTCGTCGCCCCTGGCGCGTCCGCTGGCGCGTCCCTTGGGACGTTCCACGGCGCGTCCCCCTGGCATGCCCCCCTGGCATCGCCCAAATGCACATGCAATTGAAGTCCTTAGAAACGGTTCCATGCCTCGCAGTTCTCAGTCCATTTCTGGGATCGTGGGTCGATCATGTTTTTGACAGGGACGGCGGGGTTGCCCGCATATTGCCTGCTGCGCGCAGGGACGGCATCCTCGTCAAAAAACAATACGAAATCCACTTCAAGGCAAAATCTGGATCATGCGCGGGCACCACGCGATCTCTGTGCATTGATTTCTGACTGGGACGGCGGGGGTGCTGGCATATTGCCTGCTATGTGCAGGCCAACCAGACGCTATGATGACCACCCCGCCGCGATTGAGAGAGAGAGAGAGAAAGAGAGAAAGAGAGAGCTGCCAGTGAGGAGGTGGGTAGTCCGCCTGCCCCAGCAAGGCGCAGGGCTGACATTACTGGTGAAGTGTGAAAAGATCCTCAAGTGTGAAAATGTGAAACAGCGCGAGATGAAACAACAGTGCGATTGCGCACTGGTTTTCGATCAGGGTTGTGATGCGGACACGTACCCCGATGTGTACTGCCACGTGCGCAGGCGCACCTGGCACGCCCTGCGCGTGCCCCCCACGTTGCGCACCTGGCGCGGCTGGAGCATGCGGCGCACGTGGCGCATGCTCCAGCATCTGGAGCACCTGGCGCATCTGGCGCTCCGGGCGTCCAGGCACACTTGGGCCTCAAGGGCGCCTGGCGCACCTGGCACGCATGGCACACCTCGCCGCGTTGCGCACAGGGGGCGCCTGCGTTGGATCCCATGAGCTGCCCATCCAAAGACTACCGCTGAAGACGCTGTGCATCGGGTGCTACTTATGTGTCGGGAGGGCGGGTGGAAGTGAGCAAGACGGCTTGCCGGCGGGGAGGGTGTCTTGACTCCTCCCCTGCGTCTGAGGCGAGAGGTCGCGATTGGCCCCCGATCTGGGCCTCCGTGAATGGCGAGCGACGTTGGGGGGGGCCCCGGGCCCCGGAGCGCTCTCCGGGCAGGAGGTCCCGCTCCTCGCGCGGGCCGCGCCGCCGCCCTGCGCGGCTGGAGCCGCCCCCGGGACCGGCGAGGTCAGGAGGCTCGCCATCATGTTCTGCACCTCGTTCATCTGTCGGGGGACGTAGAGGTGGGGTTGGGGAGGGAAGCCGGCGCGAAACGGCCCCTGGAGGGAGGCAATGTGAGCGTCCAGCTGGGCTCGGCTCCTAACCCCTCCTCCTCGTCTCCTCCTCCTCCTCCTCCTCCTCCGCCTCTTCGCCTCTGCCTCCGCCTCCGCCTCCGCCTCCTCCTGCTGCTGCTGGTATCCCCCGTCGACGACGAGCGAGCGGGAGTACTGAGAACCAGGCCTGGACGACACACTACCCCGGGACCCGCAAGGTCAGGCGGCTCGCCATCGTCGGCGGCGAGCCTTGGGGGGAAGGCAAAAGGGGCGGGCCTTCTCAGAAAGCTCGAAGTCCCCTAGCCTTCTGAGAAGTTCTGTGAGCTTTCCCCGAAGAAACGGGAGTCTTCCCAGGAAGCGCGAGGGCTTCTGAGAAGTCCCGCCGCCTTCTGAGAATGCCTTCTCCTTCTCATTTCCCCCCCTCGCTCGCCGCCGACATCGCGCACCTCGATCATCAGGGATCTCCGCCGAGCGGGGGACGCGCGCGAGATACGAGAACCAGGCCTCCAAAATGGTGTCCGAGTTGATGGGGTCGAAGGATCCTGCCGCATCGCCGATGCACCGGCGATGCTCTGGCGACGTCGGTGATGTATCGGCGCCGTCGACGTGGAGAAAATCGAGCTCCATCGGCGATGCGGCGCGACCCTGCGACCCTATCCACACCGACCCCATCTGGGAGGCCTGGACGAACGGAACTCATGCACCGTACTGAGTTTGGCCTTTGGACTCAATTCAAGCCTAGCTCCTCGCGCAGTACGGTGCACAAATCTTTGGCCTAGCTCCTCGCGCGGCACGGTGCACAAATCTTTGGCCTCCGAAGGCCGTAGAAGTGCGAACCGTACAATTCCTGGACCGAGGATCGAAGACTCCTCGGGAGTTGCCGACGCGGTACGGTGCACGCTGTAGACATTGGCACGCCCGAAAAAGGCACAGACAAAAGGAATACGACACCCATCAACACACGATGTCCAAAACAGGCGGCGGCAGCTGGTGCCCAGCCGACCAGCCAGAACTGGGGGAGCTGGGGAGCTGTGGTCCTTAACCCCCTGGGGGAACCCATCGCATCGACGATCTCTCGAGAGGGGTGCCGAAATCGATGGGCCCCCCCCAGGGGGTAAGGACCACAGCTCCCCCAGCTGTGGCGTTGTGGCTGGGCAGGCGACAGTCGTCTGCTCTGCACCTCGCCTCGCCAGCGGGCGAGAGGCTCGACGCGCCCAGGTCTCCGACGGTACGATTCGTCATTCCCGGCCTCTGCTCGTCGACCTCAGCCTCCGGGGCCCGTCCTCGGGCCCGGGTCCATCGAGTGGATCCAGGATGAAGAACTTGCCCCAGTGAAGGGTTCCAGACATCTGAGGCCGCGGGCTGTTGGAGGCCTGGAAGTGGGCACCAACACCAACACAGGGGGTCGCCTCCGCAGGGGTGAGGTGATCCTAGGTTTCGGTGCTGGCGGTAATCTTTCGGACACCCTGGAAGCCAGCAGTATGCCCTCCATCACCAAGATCGGGATCTTCTTCCCTCGGTGGAGGAGCACCGCCGATATTGGTGTTGGTGTCAACCTCTAGGCCTGCGAATATCTGCGCATGTCAGGGTTTAACATAACCATCGTTTGGTCGGTCCCACGGAGCTTGGCGTATAGACGCCCCAGCTGCCCAGCCTGCGCGACGCTGAGGCGTCTACACAACGAGCTGTGGAGTTGAGAGTAAACAAGACCGATGCTATGCTCAGAACTTGTGTTAGCGCCAGCGTGCGTTTGCCCACTGGGCCCCCGTTTCAGTGCGGCGCAGGCGGTGCAACGAAGGCCGACACAAGCCGCGTGCCATCGATGGAGCCAGACGGGTGAACAAGGAGGCGGCTGTAGGGGAAGGAGGTGAAAGCACGGCAGTGTGCATCCTGGTGAGCCCTTGGGGCCGCCCTGCCCAGACATGCAGCCTGCATGGAGGCGAGAACACGACTCTTGGCGACACGGCTGCCGGACCGGGCAATCTCGAGCGCGGGCGGTTCCAGGCCTCCCGTCCCTCATGTGGGACTGTGTGTTTGCTTCTGCATGGATAGGGAGCCCACAAAGGACGTACGCGCCCAGCTATGTACATGAACACGGCCCCTCGATCTGCGAGACTGGCCGCGGTATACGAACATTTGCTCAATGCGTGCTCTCGAAACCAGCGTGGATTCATGTACGTGTACGTCCTTCTTTCGCTCCTGCCTGGAGCCCTCCGGCGACACGCATCACACAGCGGCGCACCGATCACTCCTGCAGCTTCCCGCCGGCGTCCGCCGGCGCAGCCGCCACAGTTCTGCGTCCGCCGGCCTCCGCCACCACCCGCCGGGGAGGACAAATCAACTCCGTCGATCCCTCGAAAGCGCGCCCTCTCTGGAACGCCGCTCGCTTCTGTGGCAACGGAGCCTCCCATGTCATGTTGCAAGCCCTTGCATATCGATGCTAACCGGCGCTGGTCGACGCCAATCGAGGCTCATCCTATCGATCACCACGCGCTAGCGCACGCCAGTGCGCTGTGAAAGCGGAATTCGGAGGAGACACTAGGCCCCCATGGTTGCTGCCGAATCGCACGGTGGAAGCCGACCGACACTTCGACCTGCGTTCTTGCATGGGCGGCGCGCCAGGGGGGAAGTGAGAGGGGGCGTGCCTTCTCAGAAGGCTCGGAAGGCCTCCGGCATGTTGGGGAGACTCCTAAGCCTTCCCCAGCGACGGCACAGAAAACTTGTCAGGAGGCGCGGGGGGCGCCCGAGAAGCCCCGCCACCTCCTGAGAAGGCATGTTCCCTCTCACTTCCCACGAAACGGGGCCGCCGGCTTCTGTGGACCCACACAGCCTGGGGCGAGCTGGCCAGCCTCGCAGGCTTGCTGGTGGCCCGCTGGCTGACCGGTTCCTCCGGCACGTCGCTGAGCAGCCGGACCCTCGGGCTGGCCAGCCTCGCAAGTGGCTGTGGGGGGGGGTCACCCGCCCGGATCGGGCCAGCGTCGGCGCCGGCGGCAGTCCGCCTACCCACCCCATCAATTTCCCCCTACCCACTGCCCTCCTTCCAACTCGTCTTCCTCCTCATCCAGATCCCCTCCCTCATCGTCCACGTCCTCTCCCTCCTCCTCCTCCTCCTCCTCCTCCTCCTCCTCCTCCTCCTCCTCCTCCTCCACTGCCTCCTCCTCCTCCTCCTCCTCCTCCTCCTCCTCCTCCTCCTCCTCCTCCTCCTCCTCCTCCTCCTCCTCCTCCTCCCCTCCCCCCCCTCCTCCTCCCCCTCCTCGCCCTCGTCCTCCTCGGCCTCCTGGACGCAGCCCTGCGGTCAGGCTTGGTCCTAACCACCTGTGACTTCGGAGGGGGCCAAACACCACCCCCGCGACCCCCCAGGGCTAGTGGCCGCCGCGCCGACAGGGCCCGATAGAGGGAAGACAGCCAGCACCACACGCTCACCGAAGGCGGGTGGCCCCCACCCCATGCCTTCCTGGCTCCACCTGCGCCAGGGGTTACTGGTTACCCCACGCCGCCGTGCGGGGCACACGGCGCGATACCGCGCACGTGTAACCAGGCCCGCCCCCGCAGGCCCCCTTGCTCAAGGGGGGCCAGGTGCTACGCGTCTCCGATCCGTGCCTACACCGACAGGCCGACCCCCCCGACCACACTCTGTGCCCCGCAACTCGACGAGAGGGGCCGCGGAGTGGAAAGGCCTTGCCCCCGCACGAGCAAGGACCGTGCAGGCCGACGCAGACGGGAGAACCGATCCGCACCGACCCAGGGACGGGTGCCCTCGCGGCACCAGAAGCTGGGTCCCCGACGGACCTGCTTGCCATCGCTCGGACGCCTATTCCCTGCGCGCTGCGTTTGCAAGATTATCGGGGGGACTATCAGAATGTCCTTACCGGGGGAAAATGAACACGCCCGAGCGATGACAAGCCTGAGACAGCAGACCCTACCACAGCGGGAAACCCGCTAGAGTAGGAGGGGTGCCGCGCCAGGGCGGTCAGGGCACCGCTGCACCTGGACCGCTGTGCCGCCCCCACGCAGGCAACGTCGTGGCGGAACTCAGTTCCCCCGGCCCTGGCGTGCCGCCTCCACGTGCCGAAGCACCTCTCGGGGCCTGGGGCCCCTTCTTGGCCTCTTACTCCTCCTCCCTCATCCTCCGCCTCCTCCAACTCGTCACCATCGTTGTATTCCTCCACGTCGTTGGCCCCGTCCTCGTCCTCGTCCTCCACCACCTCACCATCATCATCATCATCATCATCATCATCATCATCATCATCATCATCATCATCATCATCATCATCATCATCATAATCATCATCACAATCATCATCATCATCATCATCATCATCATCATCAGCATCATCATCAACATCATCATCATCATCATCATCATCATCATCAGCAGCATAAGCATCAGCATCAGCATCAGCATCATCACCAGCATCATCAACAGCAGCATCATCATCACCATCATCGTCATCATAATCGTCGTCACCAGCATAACCATTATATTACCAGCATCGTCATCATAATCGTCGTCAGCATCATCATCAGACGAATAATCATCAGCATCATCAACATCATCATCGTATTCACCGGTCAACGTCATCGAGCACCGATCATCATCATCCGCATAATCATAGTCGGCATCAGCATCATCAGCCTCATCATCATCACCAGCAGCAGTACCAGCACCAGCATCAGCATCAGCATCATCATCATCGCCATCATCAGCGTGTCGTCGTCACCATCGTCATTATCAGCATCAGCATCATCACTCCCATCATCAGCATCATCAGCAGCATCATGAGCATCGTCAGTATCAGCATCAGCAGAAGCATCATCATAATCATTATTATCAGCATCAGCATCAGCATCATCATCATCACATCATCACCATCATCATCGTCGTCGTCGCCGTCATGGTCATAGTCATCATCACGATTATTATCATCACTATCGGCATAGTCTGCATCAGC